CCCGCCGCCCCCGGGAGGGTGGAGGGAAGCGGGAGGCCGCTCAGCCTGGAGACAAAAGGCCCGGCGCCCGGCTCCTCCTAGCGTTTGGGGGGCACCCTCCCCCGCCTCCACCTGCGCAGAGGGGGCGCGGGCAGGTGAGCACCCTTGTAGGGGCGCCTCGCAGGAGGAGCCTGATGGACCCCAGAAACTGGACATCTCCACGCGGAAGGACATAGGCAAACAACCCCGACATCTGCTCCAAAATCATAGTCTGCCCCACACCTGCCCCCACTCGCGGCCAGTTCCGCATCCAGCCGCCCCCCAAAAGGGGTCCCTGGTCCCTGCGAGTCTCATTGCCAGTGGCCAGGCAGCTAGAAAGCCCTCACTCCCTAGCAGCCTGCACAGGTTACCTCTTCCCCTAAAAACAAACAAACAAAAAGAAAAAAAAACACACACGCCCGACTTTGGTTTTTCCTCTACTAGATCCGATCGGGAATTCACTGGTTTAAACATTAAAAAAAAAAATCTTTAAACTCTCCCCGCGTGCGAGATGCGGCTGGAACGAGAGCTAGTCCTGCGAAGAAGAAACGGCCTTTTCCTACGGTCTCTCACGCCGGCTTTACAGACCACCGCCCCGGGGCCCCGGAGCGAGAGATCCCCGGGCCCCGAGAATATTGATAGATAGTAGCGATATTCGCCATCGATCCCTTCATAGGCGACGTCATCAATCATGTTCAATCCCCTGATAGCGCCGTACTTCACTTAATAATATAATTAAGATGAAAACTCCGGAGGTATTGGAGGCGGTGGGCATTGATGGCATCAAAAATTGCATCTGAACATGACGGTGGGAGGGGAGGGGACCTTAGGGGTACATCACCCCCTCCCCCCAATAGGGGGGGTCTCCAGGGTCCCCTGTGGCCACACACCTTTCCCTCCTCACCCACCACCAGTAACCCCATCTCCCGCTCAGCTCAGGGAGCCAGGAATAGAAGGAGAGACAGGGCTGGCCGTGGGTGCATTTCCTGGGTTTAGGAATCTTTTTTTTTTTTTAAAAAAATCCCATTCGTGTAGCCTTGAATCTGGAGGAGAAATACACCAGGAGACCTGGGAACTGAAGGTTTGGTTCCTCCCATACAATCAATTTGCTCGCCCGTGTTTTCAGAATGACACCTAATTCCGCGCACCCCGGCAGGTCTGCCAGCCGCGGGCTCCTGGCGCTGGAACTGCCCCGGGACCATCGGGCATCGCCGGCCAGGCCGGGGCCTGGGCCTTGGGAAGGGAAGCCAGAGGGGCGGCCCGTGCAGGGGTGAGGGGTGAGGAGAGGAACCGCTTGTCAGCAGCAGCTCAAAGGGATCTCAGAGAGCGGAATCGGAATCAAATCAATCAAAGCTGACAAATGGGAAATATGTGAAAGTCGGGGGTAATTTACAACTTTGTTATTAGCGAGAGGCGGCCGCCTGGTAGCAGTAATTAATAATACTTAGCGAGGAACCGGTTGGAAATCCCCTCCTGTTTTTTTTTTCTTTTCTTTTCTTTTCCCCTGTCCCTTAAGGAAGGAAAGAGAGAAAGGAAGCGAATGGGTGAGCGGGAGAAACAGGAAAGATCCCAGAGTCTGTGGGGCCACGGAACCAAACTGGAAAATAGAAAAAAAGGGGGGGGCCATCAGGAAATCAAGAAAATACAGGAGGAGGGGGAGCAGGTGAGAAAATGAATTCTCTGCCCATATCCCGGGAGCTAAAGGTGGCGTTTCCAATGGCCCAGAAACGGACAGTGTTGCTGGAAAAAAAAAAAAATCTTGAAAGTAGCTCAGCTCTGAATTGAGGCAGAGCATGGGGCGTTGTGTGTGTCCTTGTGGGGAACCATGTCTTTCTTGGGGGCCCGGGCGCAGGCGTGCGTGGCCTCTTTCCCCAATTCCATCCCCCGAGACCCATGTTCTGCTGTGAACTCTCTTCCCCGTGCAGACCACCCCTCCCCCAGCCTCACAATGATGATTAGATGGCCTCGGCCCCACCTCAACACCGCGCCAAAATGATGACTTGTTGGAAAAAAACCCATAAATCACGCAGCGTCTGAGCCTGGAGAGCCACTTCAGGCAACAGGCTGGCTGTGGGCAGGTACAAGGCTCCACCGGCATCTCCAGGAAAAGCCGCCGCTGCCCTGGACTGGAATTTGTCGGATGGGGGATTTTTCCCCGGTTGGTTGGCGGGGAAAAGGGCGCAGGGGAAAAAGGAGTTGGTTTGGGAAACTTTATCATGAACCCCAGGCTTGTCTCATCGGGCAGGCGCACGCTGGGTTTGGGAAAGGCAGCTGGGCATGGAGAGGTGTCCGTGTCTGAAAGGACAGATCCTTTTGATAGAAGAGGTTAGCTCAAAGTCCCTACAGCCACCGGCTTCGGCAAACGCCTCTCCCCAGTCTGCACAAAAGCGGTTCAAAGAAATCTTAAAACACACACACACACAGAGACACCGACACGCAAACACACTCGCCTACTTAAGCCACAAACGCGATTCTCTGATTCTCTTTTTCTTTGTTGCTGCTTCTGTTGCAAACCTCTAGCTTCTTTCTAGGAGGCCGGGTTGCCTGGCTTCCCCCCTGAACTCTGCCATTTTGTGTCTTTTGCTTTTACTAGCAGCCCATGAGTAATAAGAGGGTAGGGGAGGAAAAGGGGAGGAAAATAAGGGACGAGGGGAACTAATCCAACGGAGGCAGCAGAACCCACGAGGGGCGGGGAAGAGAGAGATGTGCACAACCAGCTGCCCTCTAGGAAGAAAAAGACAAAACCAAACCAAACCAGAAACAGGCAAAGTGGAAATGGACGAGATGAGTTTGCAGGGATGAGGCTGAGGGCCCGAAGGAAACCTGGCAGAATGTAGGCCGCCCTGGGGAGGAGACCGTGAGAGGGGAGCAGGGAGAAGCCAGGCTAGAACCCCAGACCCCAGGCAGGCAGCGCGCTATGCAGATGCTAATGAGGGAACGTTAACCTTGGGGTTGGGTCTGTCTGAATGCCCGGTCCAGGGGCCACAGGCCGCTCTCTCAGCACCAGAAGAAGGAGATAATCGCTCTGAAGCCCCCCCCCCCCCCATGCAGGGAGCCCTGCAAACAGCTCCCCCACAAAAAAATAAATACCCACAAAAATCCAGAACAACAAACGCAAAGCACCCAGAACTGCGAGCAGGGGCAGCGAGCGGCCCTGCAGATGTGGGGCGGCTGGGCTCGAACCCTGAACCCCCTGGGCCTCATCTCTGCCGCTCCGGCCTGTGGAGAAGGCCCCGCTCACTGGGCCTCCGCGCGGCACCACGGGGATAAATGGATTTGAGCTCCAGGATCCGCGGCTGCTGGGCCGCGGATTACCGCTCAGCCAGAGAAAATATGGGGGTGGGTGGGGGAGGGACACAGGACAGAGATGAAGAGGACAGACACCCCCAGACAAACAAATCCGGAGAGACATTCTGGAAGCGGAGTGGCCCTGGTTATACTTCGCGGAGGAGGCGACGTTAAAAACACACATACAGGGATCTTATTAGACAAGCGAGCCACCGAGCAAACGCACGTGCAGAACGCAGTCCCAGCCGAGGGGGTTTGGAATGATTGTGGGGTTCTGGTGGGGGGACCCCCCCTGGCCTTGATTACTGTGTTCTCGGTCTCTCTCTCTCTCTCTCTTCCCAGAAGCCCTGGCTTCCCTACGGAGCCGGGGCCTGCCAGGGGCTGAGCAGGGAGGGCTCCCTGTCGGAGGCGCAGGGCTCCTGTTTCCAAGTGGAGACATCACCAAACCGCAACCTTAGCGACAGTGACAGCCCCAAATTATGTGTAATGTTGCCAGGGGGAAGGGGAAATATAAAATTAGCGCGAGAAAATGCTTCCCAGACCTGCCTCGCCAGGAGGGCAGCGGCGCAGGGATGGGCACAAGGTGGGCGGCGTGGAAGCCAGAGGCCTGGGGTGCCAGGGCCAGGGCGCTGGGTGGTGGGCCAGGCTCCTTCTGCCACCTCCCCGCCCCCCAGGAGGCCTCCTCCCTTAGGAGGCAAAGGAAGCTTCTGGAACGAGGTTAATGACACTCGGACCCATCCCTTCACTTTCTGGGAGGAGAGAGGATGGAGAAGGCCATCCTGGTGTCTAAAGCAACGGGGTTTTTAAAATGGTGATGAGGGTGGTGGAGGGGTGACCTGGACTGAGAAGCAGAAGAAGAAATTGGGGGAGGGGGTAGATGCAATTCCCCCTCCCCCTCCCCCCTTCTTTGGGAAGCTGTGGCTGTAGGGAGAAGATGCTAAGGGGGACCCCGTTACTGCATAAATGAGGAAGCCCCTGTTTTGGGAACTTGCTGTCAGACCGGGTCAGCTGCCCCTGCCAGGTGGGTAGGATCCCACAGCATTTAAAGAGCCCGTCTCCATAGGTGCACCCCCTCCCCCGCCCCCAGCCAGGGCCAAGGGCAGGCACAGGGCTGCCAGGCAGCCCAGGGGATTGGCTCGGAGAGAGCCAGGGAGGTGGGGACGGTGGCATTTTCCAGGAGGAAGCAGTTTCTGTTCGCAGGAGATTATTTCTTAAGATGCTTATTTAAAGACACAGAGACGAGCAAGAGAGAGAGAGAGAGAGTGGGGAGGAGGGGGTGGGAGAGAAGAGAGACTGCATCCCCCTCATCCTGGTTATAAAGAATATAGTTGACTTTGTCTGGACACGGTGTCGCTGTGGTTCTGAAACGACACACTTTCCCTTCTCAGTCGCAGGCCAGGGGAGGAGGGCTGCGAGAGGGCGGGTGGGAAATTCATTTTCAAACGGTACAAAGGAAAAAGAAATGCATTGGGAAGTAGCAACCCGGCTGATGGCGGCCGGGAGGAGAGACTGCAGGGAGAGTCTCTGCAGTTGTTTTAAAACCCCATCCGGGCAGAATAACCAAGGGAAACAAAGGGGGTGGCCACTGTCATTGTCCATGTGGTCGCCCCACAACTTTGGGGGGGGAGAGGGGAGGCAGCCATACGCTGAGGCTGCAAGTTCACAGTGTGCGTTGAGCAACAAGTATCAAAAGATCAAGACGAATGGATGCTTCGAGTTCCCCTGGCCTTTCTCCAAAGAGCAATATAGATTTAATTGTATGTTGTTTCCAACTCCACTTCTCCAACAGCGAGCAACGTGTAATAAAAGTCAGAAACCCTATCGGGGTCTTTTTTTTCCCTCTCCCCCCAAACACGAGCGTAAATACCCAACTGACACTTGGAAATCGTAGCTCATAGGAATGGGTTAAACACACACACACACACACACAGGCATCGGGGCGGGGTGGCCACATCATAAAATCTAAACTGTTTAAGCCGCTTTAACTCCTGCAGAAAGGACCTGCGGTTGCGGGTGGGACGCTGGGCAGAGGAGGGGGGGGGGTCGAGGGAAGAGACCCCCCATCAGACACCAGACTTGTGCTAAGGCACACGCGCTCTGGCTCAACCCCAGCCCCTGAGAGCGCAGCGAGTCGGGGCCTCGCAGACACACCGGCAACATCTCCATCCGGCAAAGAGCAGCTGAAAGTTGCAGCCGAATTGCCCTGGCTCCAGGCTCGCCTCTCTCTTCCTCTCTCTCTCTCTCTCTCTCTCTCTCTCACCGAGAGCCTGGGGAGCCACCCGGAGGCAGCCTGCGCCCAGCCCAGCTTCCCGGGGAGAGCGAGGGTCTGGAGCCGGGCAGGAGCGCCCCAAATCGGCCGCACCGCCCCCCCTCGGCCCCTCCCCGCTGTCCTCTGTCTGATCCCCGGGACCCACAGTGGCTGGTGGCGTCTAAAACCGGCCCCCTGCGCCCCCCTTCCCAGGCCTGGGGCAGCTCAGAGAAG